AAGAAATACGGATTTGAGACACCTGAAGAAGGTCGGAGGATACAATGACCGAAACCTTGTGATAATAATAAAAGAGGTCAGGACATTAGTCCGATAATAAATAAAGTGAATAATAACTTCTCATCCCAGAACTGACATGTCTATTCACGTCTGAGACGTGAGCTTTATTTTAAGAGGTTTTCCATGTTACAAGAAAAATCAGCGCCATCAGGTCACGAGATTTCAGACTGACACATACCTTCCAAACAGAGATCTTTATATATATATATATATATATATATATATATATATATATATATATATATATATATATATATATATATATATATATATATATATATATTAGTAGTAGTAGTAATCTTATATGTATAAGAATTTATACTGTTCGAAAACCTTCGGTGTCTTGATTTGCAAATAATTAAACCAATACCAAAGGGAAAAAAGGGTATAAAAAAGAAAGAACCAAGAACATGTACGTCAGCCGAAAATAATCGTCTAGCATGCAAGTCCAAAGCCAAAAGAAAAAAAAACCGATACGAGTAAGAAAAATAACTTATATATATATATATATATATATATATATATATATATATATATATAAGGAGACCATTCGATTCCGCTACATTGGTTTCAACCTTTTGGTATCTTCTGGCGATTTCGGTCACTTGATTTCCTAACGCTTTATTTTGTCCGTTGTACGCTTCGGCTTTCTTCTGGTATTATACGTTGGAATTTCGAACCGAACCCTTTATCTAGTCCACGGGGGTAGATTGTTCTAGTTCCACATGTCATGCGTATATATTTCTGTGTATTTGTGCGTATGTGCGCGTGTGTGTGTAAAAATGTATGTATATATAATAAAGTAACAGAGGATAATAATTTTACTTAATATTTCGATGCCAGATCAAATCTCTCTCAGTACACAGTAACTTGAGAGAACTCTAATAATATCTGAGTTTTTTTAAATAAAATATTGTCATTTGCTATTAATTTTTTACAACTATTTCTTTCATGTGAATTTTGTTGCTTTTTGTTACAAATCTCATTTCCAATCTGTGAAAATTCCTAAAGACTAGAATTATGACCTGGATATTCTGAAAAGAAACAAATTTTAAAATGAACGAAAGATTGCCTAAAAATTATTTATGCTTTCATCTAAGAAGCTCAAGCAATTTAAATCTATTGATACTTGCTGTAAAAGCAAGAGAAACATGACGAAAGAAATGCTAGTAGAAAGTAATTATAATTAAAATGTTTTATCTAAGACATCCACACAACTTAAGACTATTAATACTTGGTGTAAGTGCAAGAAAAATATGACCAAAGAAATGCTAGTAACAAAGTAATGATAATTAAAAATGCTTCATCGAAGACATTCAGACAACTTATGACCATTACTGAGACCAAAAATAAAATAAGATGAAAGAAATACTAGTCTCAAATTTATGACAACTGACTAGGCTTCATCTAAGAAATGCAAACATCTGTAGACTTACGTACAGACTTACACTAGTTGCAAATGCAAATGAAAAATTTTTACGAGTGAAACATTAATTTACAATAATTAAAGTCTATTTCTTACTGAAGTCTATTTTTATAATCAACTGAATTTAAATGAAATCCTAGCAAAAAATCAAGTGACAAAGCTCCTTATAAGAAATCCAGACAGTTTATGAGTTACACAAGGTCTGAAAGCAAGAGAAATTTAATGAAAGGATACTAATAATTAGCAATGTTACATCTAAGAAATACAAATTCAGGCCGTTACTACGTCGTGTAAACGCAAAGGAAATGAGATGAAAGAAATACTATTAAAAATGGCTAATAATTGATATAGCAGATTTTATAACAAGAGTGGTATGTCTGCCACAAGATTATCTGTCAGAGCCAATATCTCTTCCGAGCTGGTTTTGAATGCAGAGCTCCTAGTTGCCACCTCATAATAGATTTTGGTTCTCATGCCTTGGACGTCAACCAATATTGGAGAACTTTAACTGAGAATTCAAACCCTTATAAATAATAGGGTATAATAATATTTAGCCTTGATAGATCAACTAATCAAAGAGAAGGAAAATGAAATCAAAACCAGACTGACATACCAACAATTGCTACGGCTGCAATACACATGGTTCCCAAATGACTGTTGTGTCTTACAGGACTCGACAAGGATTGAAACTCTCACCTTCTTTTGGAACTGCTAGGTAACCTTGACATACTGGGAAAGTGTTGTGATGTCCTCCCTCTAAAGAGTCTATGTTAGACATTTCCGCCTACTATAAAATTAGTAGGAGAGAAGGTTGAGTGAACTGTGAATAGATTGAGAGCTGGTTCATTCGATATATACTCACTAATCGTGTAATACTCTTCTGGTGTACTTACTACTTAATATACGATATATCTGCAAACCTGGTTTTTGCTATTACTTAACGATTTACTTGGTCACAACAGAAAGGATACTAGAATAATCCAGAACTTATACTAACAGGTAACCGCCTGCATACGGATAGAAAATGAATTCAGTAAATATACCGAAATTGAAAGTGGGGTATAAAACAACGATGTGTCTTCTCGCCAGATTTATTTAACCTATACAGCGAGATGATCCCGTGAGAATTAGAATTCCTACCATAATTCATTATTCGTGGCTACAATCTTAACTATATAAGATATGCAAATGCCACAGTGTTTATAGCAGATACAGAAAGAAAACTACAAGAACTCCTACAGAAGTTAGTGAAGAAAAGCATAAAAAGTACAAAATATCAATTGACAGATGAAATTGTTGTTAATAAAATGAACATACCAACATGCAAATTGGGAATATTAAAAGTAAACAAGTACAACAATTTATATATCTGGGAAGTGTTTTAACAAAAGACGGAAAATGCGGCACTGAAATCCGAAGACCCATTGGAATAAGCAAAGATGCATTCGAAAAACTAAGCAGAGTATTAAGACACAGAAAAGCTTCGTTAAAAACAAAGAAAAGAGTAATGAAATGTTACTGAAATGTAACGTGATATCTGTCCTCCTGTATGGAGGAAAAGGGCAGCACTGAAATACGGAGCATTGAGATAGCAAAATAAACCTTCCAAAAACTAAAAGAAATAAGAAAATTCATTTAGAGTCGAAGAAAAGGGTATAGAACTGCAACGTAATATCAGTCCTCTTATATGACAGAACATTCTGAACAATCTGCTCACCGATGAGGAAGAGACTTGAAGCAGCAGAAATGTGGTATTACAAAAGGATGCTGGCCCAAACATGTGACGTTTTAGAGAAAATGGGAACAAAAAGGACCCTTATACTTAATATCATAAAGCCACAACTGAAATTTCTAGGGTACATAATGAGGAAAGAGGGCTTGGAAAATTTAACACTCACAGAATAGATTGAAGGTAAGAGGGACAAAAGAAAACAACGCATATCTTACAACAACAAGAAGTAGTAGCAGTAGTAGTGGTGGTGTTCCCTATGGATAAATAATCATTATTCCGCAAATGTTCTTAATATTTGTCGTTATTTAGATCCCTACGACAGACGTGTTTTTTTTTTTCAGAACTTTCTCCTGTATATATTTTAATTAATCAAAATAACCATAAGGTCACTATTCCAGGCAGTGAATAATATCTTCTAAAATACGAAGATTTGAAGTCATATCTTAACCTGTTGAGTCATAAGGAATTTCCGTTTGGGGGAACCAGTTGAATGTATCATCCTATCTGTTCCTTAAATATGTCATAGCAGGTGATGAAAAGTGGGTTGCATACGACAACGTTCAATACAAAAGGAAATGAATTGATGAAGATACATTTCCACAACCGACCCCAAAAGTTGGGCCCCATATAACAAAGTAATGTAGTACGTGAAATGGGATCGTCGGGATATTATTCATTTAGAGATCTGAAAACGCAATGAAACACTAAATGCACGTTTATACATCCAGTAGCTGCAACGTGTCCATCAAGGCTTTTATCGAAAAATATAGTTCTCTTTCTCTATGCTAAAGCAAGGCCGCATGCAGCAAATATAATACAGTAAAACATTATGGAATTCTGTTGGTTTGTTCTATCTTATCTGTCATATTCACCTGAGCTTGCAACAACCGATTAAACCTTTTGAGGGAAAGAATTCCTCTTATGAAAACCAGATTCAAGAGTTCGTCGAAAACCGTTTCACATTAAAAAAAAAAAAAAGGAATTTTGCCCATAGTCCGGATCATTGAATCAATGTGACTGATCATTTCCTATGTGCTTCGCCAGGGTTACATACAGTTTTGAATTCAGAGTTTTCGTTCTCCTAGTCCGGTTACCACCCAAGGCTATAGAACCCAGTCTGCCCTGCTATTTACCCATAGGAAGAAAAGAGATGGATTCATTAGCACGTAATGCGAATGGAATGAATTTGTCTGGAATTCGAACTCGGCTCTCAGATTCCTCAATCCAAGTCGCAATCTATAACTGATAAGTAGCAGTAAATAATGAACTGAATAAAATGTAATTACACTTTATTTTTTGAATACATTGATAAACAAAATAGATTTAAATTCTGTTTTTAGGTCATTCTTCTATTCATAAAAAACATGCATCCAATCAATTTAATTTTCGGTCCAGTCGCCGGTCTTAATGACTATAGTCTCGTGACTATCATGTCTCTTATAAGCAACCAATCGAAGCAGTAGGAAGAGTTACTTGAAACTGTGGAACGGCCGATCCTAAACAGCGCTCGAATGAAGAGAGAAACTTATTAACACTAATACAAGGTGACATCTAGGCAGCCATATATATGTGCAGATAGCAATAAAGAGCAGATAACTCTGAAGTCGGGCGTTCTCGACGAGGGCTGACGTAAATTTAATTAGCGTTTGGCCCGAAATTGGTTACGGAACAAAATCTAGATTATTCGGGCGCCAACTTTGCTCGCAGCCATAAAAGAGGACTCGCAACCTGTGCACCGACCTCCCTCGGTCCTTCTCTCTTTTTCAACTGATCTTTCTTTCTATGCCTCACTACTCTCTCTCTCTCTCTCCCTCCCTCCCTCTCTCTCTCTTTCTCAGTCTGTCTCTCTATCTATCTGTCACACAGAAAAAAGACACCCTCTCTCACACTCACCGAGATACATACATACACAATCATCTTTCTTTCTTTCATTTTTTTCCCTTCTTTCTTTCCCAAACTCATTTAAATTTTTTCTCTCTGTTACTCTCTCTCTCTCTCTCTCTTTTTCTAGTTAGTTTCGTCCCTCATTTTTCTTCCTAGCACTTACTTTTCTTTTCTCTCTCTCTCTCTCTCTCTCTCTCTCTCTCTCTATGTCTCATTTCATTTTGTTTCTTCATAGTTCTTCTATTCATCACGTTTCACTTTCTTTCCCAGGCTCATTTTTATTTATTTCTTCCTAGATATTTCTTCTTCTTCTTCTTCTTCTTCTTCTTCTTCTTCTTCTTCTTCTTCTTCTTCTTCTAGATTCGTTTTTCTTTTTCTTTCTTTCTTTTCTTTCTTTCTTATTGGCTCAGCTTTCTTCCAAGTTTGCTGTCCTTCTCCTCTTCATATTCTTAAAATTTCTTCTTAGTTTATCTTTCTCTCTAACTTTAAGACCGTTCGCAACCCCCCTCTATCTCTCTCTATCTATCTATCTATCTATCTATCTATCTATCTCACTCGCTATATATATATATATATATATATATATATATATATAAGTGTGTGTGTGTGTGTGTGTGTGTGTGTGTGTGTGTGTGTGTGTGTGTGTGTGTGTGTGTGTGTGTGTGTGTGTGTGTGTGACCTATGGCATCGATGGGTACAATTCTAATTAGTCTGCCTTTGGTATCAGAAGTTGGTGTCTGGGGCAAAGGTTTATTGATATTGACTAAGCTAGGCTTATTACATCATGCGTCTAAATGAGCATTGGAAGATTTTATTACGTTCGTCATCTAATCGGAGAGAACCTTCTTCTCTTAAAAATGTACAATCTGCCTTTTGTCTACGCTCAAAAACCATTAGGTAATACGAAACCATCAACCAAATTCTTCTAAATCAAAAGTTTGTTTGTTCTTGAAGAAAAAATATGCGAACATAACCGGTCTTTTAATATCAGAAAAGGGCGTTGTCAAACACGAAGCACGTTTATTTAATGCGAGCCTACAACGCTGCACTGCTCAAGCAAATCCTACCTTGATCGGCTACAAAATGGTTGCAAATTTCACAGAAAGTATTCAGACAGACTACATTCCTTAGTTCCACCAGTTCTAATCTTTACGACTAAGACACGCCATGCCACGCACACTGGAACAACCCCCCATTACCTTCTTATTCCATTTGTGAGATATAAGTTCCACTCGGACAGCTTCTTCCCATGAACCTCTGTTTTGTGGAACTGACTCCCAAGAGGACGTTTTTCCGATCATTAGAACCTTAGCCTGTTCAAGTCTAACCGTTATCTTTCCACATATCCGCCTAAACTGTACCTCTTACACTGTAACACTATCTTATGCAAGTTCCGGGCTTTGTACAACGTAAACAATGCTGTAAAACAATCCCCGTAAACTGTGCCTCTTACTCTGTATAACTCTACCTCAAGTGGCTCTTTAGCCTTGTACAGAGTGAACATTATTATAAAAAGAATTAAAATTGATAAATTAAATAAGTCTAATAATTGAATTTTTCATTCATTTTTCTTTCGTTTTTTTTTTTCTCCTATATTCAGGCTGATGCACTCTCTGGTTATTTACGAGATGTAAACAACGGAAATCAGACTTATAAAAGTAGATTCCAATGTTACTTCAACCCGCCTCTCATATCCTGCGAGTTGTCAGGCATTGATGTCTCTTAAACTGATTGCGCTTCGTAAGATGACAGGGCAGAGCTAGTGCTGCAGTCGAAATATTCTTCTATTATTTGTTTGTTATTTTCTTTTTCTTCTTTTTTCTTCTTCTTCTTTATCGACTTCCTCTTCTCCTCCTTCACCTCTTCTTTTTCGCTATCTTCTTTTTTTTCTTCTTTATCTTGTTCATCTTATTTGCTCTCTTCTTTGTAATCTTTCTCTCCTACTCTTCCCTCTCCTCATCATCATCATCTTCGATATCTTCTTCTCTTCCTGCTCCACCTCTACCATATTCTCTTCGCTTTTTCTTCTTCTTCTTCTTCTTCTTCTTCTTCTTCTTCTTCTTCTTCTTCTTCTTCTTTATCTATCTCTCCTCCCCCCTCTCCAACAGTATGTTCTCCGTTTCCGCTTTATTTTTCTTCCTTTATTGCTTCTTTTCTTCCTTTTTTCATTTTCTTTTTTCTCGACTTTTTTATATTCTTTTTCTTTGTTGTCATCATCTTCTCCTCTTCCACTTTATTCTTCTCGCTTTTCTTCTTCTTCTTCTTCTTCTTCTTCTTCTTCTTCTTCTTCTTCTTCTTCTTCTTCACCCTCTCCTTATTCACCTTCTTTATCTTCTGCTCTTTGAATTCCTGTTCTTCCTCATCCTTATACTTCTTTCTATATCTTCATTTTCTGTATTTCTTTCTACTTTCCTTCCAGTCACTCCGTTACTTTTTGATTCTCATAAATGTTTCCCTGGACAATCATGTATCTGTCTTTAACAAAGCAAAGCATATTTCATTGAGTAACAATATGCTGGCCATTTTCTGATACGCTTTCCAAAACGAGGCTCTAAATTTCTTAAAGCACTAGAAGCCAGTCGCACTTCGGGGTAACTTCCGTTTTTAATTTGCATAACATTAGGAATTCAATCACATGACACTAAGCGACTTTGGAAATATTGTGTGTTGATAAAAATATGATTCTTTTACGCTGTTACAGCATAAAACTGTTTTATTATTGTTGCATGAAGAGAAGACAATTTAGATAATTACACTATTTACATTGTTCGAACTCTTTTCATATTCACCACGTTTCGGCCATTGTACGCTTCGGCCTTCTTCAGGCGATATACGTTGGAATTTCGAACCGAACCTTTTATTTAGTCCACTGGGGCCCTGTAGATAAAAGCTTTGGTTGAAGTAATCCAATAACTTGAACCAAAGAGTTTGTGTTCAATACCTGGCCACAGTAGAGGGGAACAAACACTTGTAATAACTGAAACTGAGATATCTAAAATATGCGTGGCACGTGGAACTAGAACAATCTACCCCAGTGGACTACATAAAAGGTTCGGTCTGAAATTCCAATGTATATCAAATGAAGGAGGCCGGCGCGTACAACGGCCAAAACGTCGGGACTATGACAATAAAGCTGAAGGCAATAGCCCTAACAGTGTAAATAGTGTAAATTGTTACAATACCTCATCTCAGAAATATAGACAAAAATCTAGATGTTGTTACATAAACAGTAATAATTGATATATGAATTATCTTTTATAACGACAAGTAACGCTAAAATTTGTCTGCGCACCCCCACCTCATACCTTCCTTGTCAAAATCCAGGCTTAAGTTAGAAAACCTTCAGCGTTCACAATAAGCAGTGTTGTGGTCTGCTTTTTTTCATAATTTACAAATTTACAACTTAGTCGGATGAAGCCGAAAAAAAAAATTAGGAAATTACTAAATAAGTCAAAATTACTTAGATACTCTTAAATCTTACCGAATTAGTCAAATAAGTGAAAAAATAGTAAGTTTGCATAATTTATTTTATTCTTATTAATATAACCATTAGAAAACTAACTAAGAGTTACAAAAGACAAGAAATTGTGGAGAGCCATGATCGCCAACGTCCTGAAGTGACAGAGCACACATACTATTGTCGCATATTATTTTACATTCTACAATTGCATTTAGCCTTTTTCTTTTGATATTTTAACGTATTTTGGTCGTGTGTATTGACTTGGAAAAGTAGTAATTATTTCAGGAAAAGTAAGATTGGAAAGAAACCAGGACATATATTTATATTTTGTTAAGATTCAATAGCCGCACTCTCAATAATTTTCCTTCTGAGTAAATTACTTTCTCTTTTCCCGAATATTACTCGCTTATCAGACTTTGAATTCTGAATCCTCCACATGTTTTGATTAGCCTTTCAAACACATGATTTTATAGCAATGGAATTTATTTGGGCGCTTGTTTTGCAAAACTTCTATAAAATTCCATAAATGCCTTGTATTACGACCTAGATTACTGAGAAAGGTTAATTTTGAACTTCTTTGAATATTTCGGCATCAATTTACATTAAGTCCTACCAGCCATCTCTCTTTAAACAGGAGTGGTTGTTAGGTTTTAATGCAATTAGCTACAGCTGATAAATTAAACATATTAAAATGATTATAACAGAGCCCACACGTGTTTTTTTTTTCAAATCCTCACAACGATCACAGTTTTAATAAATGTGTCCTTCTTATCTACCCCTGAGGATGATCTTCGAGGAGATCAAAAATACTTGAGTAGAAAAATACTACAGCTTCCTTGATGAATTTCATCTTAACTTCAAGAAACTGATTACAGAACTAGAAAGGGTTATTATAAAATAGACACAGATAATAGGCCTATATTATACAATGAAACATCTTTGAATGAAGATTTGCTGCCTATATATATATATATATATATATATATATATATATATATATATAGATATAGATAGAAGCAGAATGACATAGATAGATAGATAGATAGATAGATAGATAGATAGATAGATAGATAGATAGCAGAATGACAGAATAGATAGATAGATAGATAGATAGATAGATAGATAGATAGATAGATAGATAGATAGAAGCAGAATGACAAATATTTGGTTAGATAGATGTGAGTTTGTGACCCTATCTATCCAACCAAATATGTTAGCTCTATCTCTGATATTGAGCGCTTTCTAATAAGTACCGCGCATATAATATATAAATAATTATACATATATATATTTATTTATATTTATATACACTTTTCACACAGATATATATATATATATATATATATAAGATTATTCTATCTTTGCAGTAAATACGTGTGACGTTATCTCCGAAGAGAGCAAGTAAGATTAGCTTCCTCAGTATTTTTTATCACCGTCGTTGTATATTTGTCAGAATAAATAAATCAAAATAAGGTAATTGAAAGTTTTAAACTCGAGTTTTTTTCTTTATTCTTCCAATTGTATCCTCCTTGTTTTCTTTTTTTTTTTATTCTTCTTCTTTGAGCTTCTATTTTGCTTTACTTCTTCCTTCCGCCTATTCTTCGGGAAAGGTAGATATTTGCTGAACTTGAGAAATCAAACAGCAATGATCGTTAGAAAAGACGTAGCGGTGGGACGCTTTTTCTCCGCCATTTCTTACGGAAACAAAATGACGTAAGAAACATTCGATGAAAAGCTGAAGGGAAGACGTCTATGTTAATAAGGCTTCAGGTTAGCGTTTACACCTGTTTTTGTTTGTTTGTTTGCTTCTCCCTCTTGTTTTTAATCGGAAATGAGCTTAGCAGGAAAATTAACTGATAATGTTTATGTGTAGAACATCCTTTATTAACTGAGAATTTGAAAAGAACAAGCTAGCTTGTAAAGAAACAGATTAATAGAGCTTGCTACGTCAATAGGTCGGAACAGACTTAAATCGATAGATAGATAGATAGATAGATAGATAGATAGATAGATAGATAGATAGATAGAAGCAGAATGACATAGATAGATAGATAGATAGATAGATAGATAGATAGATAGATAGATAGATAGATAGAAGCAGAATGACGTAGATAGATAGATAGAAGCAGAATGACATAGATAGATAGATAGATAGATAGATAGAGATAGATAGATAGATAGATAGATAGATAGATAGAACCAGAATGAGATAGATAGATAGATAGATAGAAGCAGAATGACAAATAGATAGATAGATAGATAGATAGATAGATAGATAGATGAAGCAGAATGACAGATAGAAGCAGAATGACATAGATAGATAGATAGATAGATAGATGAAAGATAGATAGATAGAAGCAGAATGACAAATAGATAGATAGATAGATAGATAGATAGATAGATAGATAGATAGAATGGATAGATAGATAGATAGAAGCATAGATAGATAGATAGATAGATATAGATAGATAGATAGATAGATAGATAGATAGATAGAAGCAGAATGACAAAGAGATAGATAGATAGAGAGATAGATAGATAGAAGCAGAATGGCAAATAGATAGATAGATAGAAGCAGAATGATATAGATAGATAGATAGATAGATAGATAGATAGATAGATAGATAGAAGCAGAATGACGTAGATAGATAGATAGAAGCAGAATGACAGATAGAAGCAGAATGACATAGATAGATAGATAGATAGATAGATAGATAGATAGATAGATAGATAGATAGATATGAGGCGATTTGTATATGCATAATATATATATACATATTAAATTTATTTACATGTTTACTAAAAACGCAACCACCGTCTATGATTCCCCATTGTTAACAAATCTGGGTATTTTTTCTCTGAAAACGAAAAATTTGAAACACTGTTTTCAATTCGTTTCTTTCTGAAAGTTCTGAAAGTTCTGCCAGTTCTGGAATGCTCTCGTGGAAATATCTCGTTTCTAAATCGGTTTGAGTATAGATGATGTTGAACAACTTCCCATCTTAACGATCTGATTTTTTCCTCCGGTTTGTTTTGCAAAGTGTATGATGCAGAGAAGAACACCTTTTCTTTTTACCAAATCAGAGTATTTACAAAGTATGGTCCTTCCATATTCCAATTAACTCGCTATGGACGGCAATTTTACTATTTCATGAAACACATGCCAAGGACGTCCGTAGATGAAGTACTTTTTTTGTGGTGGCACTGATTTTTTTCTTTTATTATAACTACAACCTTTTTTGTTTTCCTTTAACATGCGAAACTCATTTTTCATCACTTGTAAAAATTCGATACAAAAATGAAAGGTTGACACATTGGTTAAATGGAATGATGTATTCAGCTCTCAATCGAAAACTAATGAGGAACCAAATTTCTCTCTTTTTCTGCCAATTCGTTCGAGATGTTCGTGGGCAGTTGATGATGGCACAGAATGTTGCTCTCCTAAATCTCTGATGTTTTGACATGAACCCAATTCAACAGATTCGTGAAAAGTTCTTCTTTCAGTGTGGAACCTCTTCCAAAGTGAAGTTCTTCAGATATGTCATAATGTCGCTTTTTTAACCTACTAAAATACAGCTGGTATGTACGAACATCCACCGTATCCGTATACACTGCACAAATGTTTTAAAGATCCCCATAGCAGTACTATCCTTACAAAATTGATACAGTAAGCAATGGGGAATACGTTGGTTTTAAAGTTATTAGCCACCATTAAAACAAACAATAGACAGGCGGATACAAGGGATAAGAAACTAATTCTAGATTCAGTCACCCACAATGATGAATATGTTTCTTTTTAAAGTTAGAATTCTCAAAGGGGTCAAACCTTGAAATGTACAATAAACAACACACCGTCGGATAAAAGAGATGAGAAACTAATTCTAAATGCAGTTTCCTGCCATTTAACCTCCATTTTTCTTGGGTAGTTGCTTATTTCAAAACTCTTCTTTCTTTCTTTCTTTCTTTCTTTCTTTCTTTCTTTCTTTCTTCAAGATCTCCCGCTACATAGCTTTCTCTCTATCTTCTTTCAAAAATCGGATTAGGACCATATCACGTTGAAACACCGGTCCTCGTACGATCACTGAAATTAAGCAACGTCGAGCCTCGTCAGTACCTAGATGGGTGACCGCTTGGAAATACCAGGTACTGTAAGCTTGAATGTGCGGGTGGTGTAATGCATGACAGCTCGGAATTGTTAATCGAAGAGCGGAGTTCCAATTCTAGTTGGGTTCGTTATATTCACTTACGCGCAAATACTATTAGGAAAGGTACGAATCCACCTCTTCTCCCCCAGATATGGGTTAATTTGTAAGACTTTTATCACTAAACCATTACTATGTAAAAAACGTGCTTTTGTAGTTTTAAATAAACAGGAAACGTTTGATAAGCCATGGAAAACAAGTCATTCCACCTTCAAAATGCTATTGCCTTTTTTTGTAATAACAATTTTTTAAGTTATAAAAATGTTGAATCAAAAATAAATCCATAAATACTTTATGGAAATAAACCCTTTTTCTCTCCCTCTCTGTCTGTCTTTGCGTATATATATATATATATATATATATATATATATATATATATATATATATATATATATATATGTGTGTGTGTGTGTGTGTGTGTGTGTGTGTGTTTTGTGAAGATATACCGGTTAGATATCAGGCAGATGGTACTTGTTAGAAGAATTCTGATTTCAAAACTTTGCTGACTTTGCGACGATATCCAAGTATGGCAAAAGCTTCGCAAGTAAATACAGATGATAAAATCTCGTTCCACAATCACAAAAGCAGCCAATTTCATTGTAGCAATTTCTGCGACGACACGAAGTACTACCAATTCCTTCTTTTACTTCGGAGACCATTGATGGCGTGTAGTAGGTGAGTCGTGCTGCATGGGAAACAGTCGATCCTATATTTTAAAAGCACTGCCCTTCCTTGACTATGCTCTGAAAACATTCCTGCATCACATGGGTTCGCTGCACTACCACCACCACCAATTAATATTTTTTTAAATCCATAGGTATTGGTCTCCCGAATGAGACAGATTGATGCAACGGATGAGACAGATGGATGCCACGAATAAGACAGATTGATACCACGGATGAGACAAATGGATGTCACGGATGAGACAGATGTATGCCACGGATGGGACAGATGGATACCACGGATGGGGCAGATGGATATCACGGATGAGACAGATGCATGCCACGGATGAGACAAATGGATGTCACGGATGAGACAGATGCATGCCACGGATGAGACAGATGCATGCCACGGATGGGACACATGGATGTCACGGATGAGACAGATGCATGCCACGGATGGGACAGATGCATGCCACGGATGGGACAGATGGATATCACGGATGAGACAGATGCATGCCACGGATGGGACAGATGGATGTCACGGATGAGACAGATGCATGCCACGGATAAGACAGATGGATGCCACGGATGGGACAGATGGATGTCACAAATGAGACAGATGCATGCCACGGATGAGACAGATGCATGTCACGGATGGGACAGATCCATGCCACGGATGGGACAGATGCATGCCACGGATGAGACAGATGCATGCCACGGATGGGACATATGGATATCACGAATGAGACAGATGCATGCCACGGATGAGACAGATGCATGCCACGGATGGGACAGATGCATGCCACGGATGAGACAGATGCATGCCACGGATGGGACAGATGGATATCACGAATGAGACAGATGCATGCCACGGATGGGACAGATGCATGCCACGGATGGGACAGATGCGGATGACCACGGATGTGGATGGGACAGATGGATGGGTGTCACGGATGAGACAGATGCATGCCACGGATGAGACAGATGCACGGATGACACGCATGCCACGGATGGGACAGATGGATGCCACGGATGAGGCAGATGCATGCCACGGATGTGACAGATGGATGTCACGGATGAGACAGATGCATGCCACGGATGAGACAGATGGATGCCACGGATGGGACAGATGCATGCCACGGATGAGACAGATGCATGCCACGGATGGGACAGATGGATATCACGAATGAGACAGATGCATGCCACGGATGGGACAGATGCATGCCACGGATGAGACAGATGCATGCCACGGATGTGACAGATGGATGTCACGGATGAGACAGATGCATGCCACGGATGAGAAAGATGCATTCCACGGATGAGACAGATGCATGCCACGGATGGGACAGATGCATGCCACGGATGTGACAGATGGGTGTCACGGATGAGACAGATGCATGCCACGGATGAGACAGATGCATGACACGGATAAGACAGATGGATGCCACGGATGGGGCAGATGCATGCCACGGATGTGACAGATGGGTGTCACGGATGAGACAGATGCATGCCACGGATGAGACAGAGATGCATGACACGGATGGATATCACGGATGAGACAGATGCATGCCACGGACGGTTGGATGCCACGGATGCATGCCACGGGGGCACGGAGACAGATGCATGCCACGGATGTGACAGATGGATGTCACGGATGAGACAGATGCATGCCACGGATGAGACAGATGGATACCACGGATGGGACAGATGGATGTCACGGATGGGACAGATGGATACCACGAATGGGACAGATGGATGTCACGGATGAGACAGATGCATGCCACGGATGGGACAGATGGGATGGTACAGATGGATGTCATGGATGAGACAGATGCATGCCACGGATGAGACAGATGCATGCCACGGATTGGACAGATGGATGCCACGGATTGGACAGATGGATCCACGGATGAGACAGATGCATGCCACGGATATGGGACACGGATGACATGGATATCACGGATGGGACAGATGGATGAGACAGATGCATGCTACGGATGAGACAGATGCATGCCACGAATAGGACAGATGGATACCACGAATGGGACAGATGGATACCACGCAAACGAATATTTGTTGACATCAAATACAGGAATCCGACAGAATGATAAGGTAATAAACAAATAGGAAATGTTCATCAATCTAACATATTTCACTTTTCTCTGATGAAGCTTTAATAAAAGTGCAACATGCTAGATTGATGAACGTTTCCTATTTGTTTGATATTGTTTAGCAGCATATCAACACCTCTATGGGTTATTTCATGCCAATATATATTTTGTGAAAATTTTATGCTTTCTACTACAGTTATTTTGTATATAGTTTTATACTTTCATGATAATGATAGATTAGATGTACAGTTTGTAGGTTTTAAAATGTATTGTTGGAAATTTTATTATAAAAATGAATTTTATATTTTTTAATGTCACATTGTCATTTTGCTATAAATATGTATTGTTACTCATTTATTATAAAAAATGTACTGTTGATTTTTGTTTGGGGGTTCACTATTTGCCCTTAGCTGGGACCTTAGCAGGTGCTACTACCCAGGGTCAGGGTGGACCTGGGAACAACAGCCGTTAAGAGGTGGTTCCACACTCATCAAAACCTCCAGTCTCCCAATCACAGGGCTTGCTGCTGGATGTTGTTTATCGTCATACCCAGGACATTTACTATTTATTGAAAAAAACAGGGTGATTGAAAAGTAACTCCCTATTTGAAAATCATTATAAATTATTTATTCATTGTAATTTTTGTCTCAATTTTTTTGTTTAATGTAAGAGAATTTAATGTTTGTATCTGTTTTTTCAGATTGATTATTTTATTCGAAATTTGGAGGCGCTGAAAACATGGCTGAACATCTTATCCTGCAGTAGCGTGTCTAGCCAGCGGTACGTTATGAAGTTTGGAAATCTGTTGTTCGAGTGCAAAGATGGTGGAGGGCCATTAGAGGAGTACAAGTTGAGGCAAAGACAATCAAGAATTGTTATGCAAAACTCATGGCTACAGGGTATGTAGTTGATACTTGAAGAAGCGTTTGCCCTTCCAAGTCCAGCGACTAGAAGACAATGCGGGGAGTTCAAGAAATGTTTACACGTAACCCAAGAAAGTTAATTCGACAAGCATCCAGGGAAGGTGGGCTCCCCTTTCAAACATTACGTACTGTGATCAAGAAGGAGCTTAAATGGCATGCTTGGAAGCCGTGTTACTGCATAATGCCTACTTCTCCAGGAGATGGATGGGTCGTTTTGGTCCATACGAGTGACCAGTCAGGAGTTCTGACTTAACACCCTGTGTCTTTTGTCTTTGGAATTGGTTAAAGGAGCAAGTCTATTATACCAAGCCAAAGACTTTGGAAGAACTTGAAGGACGAATACAAGATGTCAGTCAGTTCCTGGTGAAATCAGGTGACGCAGCGGGCGGCTCGAGAAGCTGGTAGTGAAAAATGGTACCAATATCAAATTTTATATATATATATATATATATATATATATATATATATAGATAAGTGTATAGGTAAGTAAATGCATGCATCTCTAAAGGTTTCGCATTGCTCTGCCGCTTTTTCTTTTTTTCTGGTTGGGGATGAGATAAGGCGAATTTGCTATGCATGTTGTTATTCTAGATAGAGATGGAGGGTCTTTGATATTTTTTTTTGTCGTGTTCATTTCATTTTTGTTGCTGTTTTTGTTGTTGTTGTTGTTGTTGATGATGATGGTGATGGTGAACATGATGATGATTGTTTATTTTCCCCTCGCTTTAGCTGGTCTTCTCGTTTTCTCCGAGAAGACACAGTGCTCTCCCCTACCCCCCAGCTCACACCACTTTCAAAAAAAGAAAATTCTATCCAGCTTGTATTTACTTTCTTCATACATTTTCACGTGTATTCTACAGCTCCTTACTCTCCTTCTCAGTCTACTTGCTCTCTCTTTTTGCTTTTATTCATTTACATTTATTTATTACTTTTTTATTTTTTTTTTATCTCGTCCATTCCTACGATTCGAATTTTTTCTTCTTGCTTTTTTTTCATTTTTTTTCGTTTGTTCTTATTCTTTTACCTTTTAATTTCTATCCTTATTCTTTTGTTTTCGTCGTTTATTGTTCTATTTTCTTTTATTTTTCTTTCTTTTATCGTTCTATCTTGTAAAATCCTGTTTCTTTCTTTCTTTCAGTATTTTTTTCACATTTTTCAAATTTTCTCTTTTTCTGGTTTTTCTGTTTGTTTTTTTTTTTTTTCTGTTTTCACCCTTTCTTTATTTTCTTCTTTCTTTCCATTGATTTTCGTTCTTTCTTATTTTCTTTCTCTACCTCTTTTATTTCCTACTCTCATTCGCTTTTTTTCCTTTGTTTTTTTTTGTTTTACTTCTGCTCATTTTTCGCTGTTTTTTTTTTTATTCCTACTAAAATGCATTTTTCTTTTATTTTCTTCTCTCGCTTTTAATTTTTTCATGTTTGATCTCTTCTTCCGTTAATCTCATTTGTTTGTTTGCTTTTTTTTCTCAGTTTCTTTCCTTCAAACGTATATCATTTGGAAAGTTTTTTCTTTCTGACTTCCAAGACGTTTTTCTGTATACATCTCTTTCTTTCGTCTTGCTTGCCTGCTTCAAATCTCTCCTTGTTTGTTCTTTTAACTGTCTCTTTCCTTTCTTCATCCAAAACGTTTTTCTTTCATTCTTTTTTCTCTCTTCAAAACACATTCTCCCCTTCTTTCTCTGTGTTTCTTTATTTCTTGCTTGCTTGCTTCCAAACTCTCCTTCCTTTCTCTTTTATTTTTAGCTATTTATTTATCTTTCTTTCGTTTGCTTTCTTTCTTAAAAATTATCTCACTTTCCCTTTGTATTTTCTTGCTTTCCTTCTTCTTTTCAGTCTTTCTTTCTTTTTAATTACTATTGCTACATAATTTTACTTTGACTTTTCTTTAATTTCGTTTATCTATTCATTTTTTTTTTTTCCTTTTTCCCTTTTCCCCTTTCATTGACATATTATTTCCTTTATATTTCTGTCAGTTAAAAGCTTTTTCTTCTCAAATTGTCCTCTTCGTTCGCCTCTTTTTCATTTTCTTTTTTCTTTCTTCGAAATTCTCGCCTTTTCTTTTTTTTCCTTTAAATATTTTCGTTTTCCTAATCTTAATATTTTTTCTAGTTAATTTCTTATGTTTATTTTTTTTTTTTCTTGTTTTTTTTTAAATTCCTATTTCATTTTTATATTTTTCATTTATCTCTCCCTCTTCTTTTTAAGTTTATCTGTCAATTCGTCTTTCTCGTCGTTTTCCCCCCTTCTCTCCCTCTTTCTTCTTGTTTTCTTCTTTTCAATTGTTTCTTTGTTGTCCTCATTCATCTCTCCGTCCTTTTCTTTTTCATTCCTCTTTTTTCCTTGCATCTTATTTTCTTTTAATTTTCTTTCCGTCTTTTTTTTTTACTTTTTTTATTTCTTTCCTTCTTTTCCCTGTCTCTTTTTTTTCCTTTTTTATTTTTTTGTTTCCATCCTTTTTATTCTTTTCTTTATTTTCGATTCATTCTTTTCTTTCCGCCCTTTCTTTAATTTTCTTTCTTTCCCTTTCTTTCTGTCTACCTTTTCCCTGCCTCTTTTTTTTTTCTTTTTATTCTTTTCTTTCGTTTTCTCTATCGTTTTATCATTTATTCCCTTCCACACATCATATTATTTCTTTTTTACCCCCAGTCGTTTTTTGTGTCTCTGCAGACTTTCGTTATTCTACCTTCGATCTTTCCCTCTCTGCCTGCTACTCTCTACCATCGTTCATTTTTTTCTATCTGTCTCTATTTCTTTTCCAGCTTTTACTTAAATCTATTCCTACCTTTATTTGCTTTGTTATCGTTGTCATTGCCGCCGAGCGTCGACGTCGAAGTCGACTTTCACTCCCAACCAGCGAATATAACAAGCAATAGCAAAGCAGAAAGGTCACCGTGACTTGCAAATCATACGATGGATGCGTAAAAATGCTCAAAGAGACCCTGAAAAACCTAGCACCGCTCAGACACAAAAGCCAACGAATAAGCGCCATTTTACATATATTACGACCCGTGCCATATTTGCATATTCGGTTGAAAAGGTAGAGAAGAGGATTGAAGGTCAAGAGCTTTGAGGTCATATTCGAGCGGACAACCATTGCTTCATTATCAAAGGTTCCATTTTATTGAAAGAAAAACTGTCGTTTCCAATTTCCCAACAGAGACATTTAGCTATACTGTCAGTCTTGTACTTGCAAGGCGTGAAGATCTACATTAAGCATGTACAAAAAAAGGATTAGATAGATAGATAGATAAAAATGATGAAACTATGAAATCTGATAT